CCATCCCATTCCACAGGGAAATGTCCTCCCATCCCATCCCATTCCACAGGGAAATGTCCTCTCCATCCCATCCCATTCCAGAGGGAAATGTCCTCTCCATCCCATCCCATTCCAAAGGGAAATGTCTTTCCCCCCCGAAGAACTCAGCCTGAGGCCGCCCCCGACGCGCCGACCAAGCCCTTCCTTTTTGTTCCCTGAGGTTTTTTTTGCCGCCTTTCCCAGTTCAGGGGAGGAATTTTTTCCTCTCCCCCGCAGGCGTCCCAGGAGGAGAACCTGGAGGGGAAGTACCTGAGCCTGGAGGCCGAGGAGAAGCTGGCGGAGTGGGTGCTGACCCAGCGGGAGCAGCAGCTGCCCGTCAACGAGGAGACCCTCTTCCAGAAGGCCACCAAGATCGGGCGCTCGCTGGAAGGGGGCTTCAAGATCTCCTACGAGTGGGCCGTGAGGTTCATGCTGAGGCACCACCTGAGCACCCACACGCGCCGGGCCGTGGCCCAGCCGCTGCCCAAGGGCGTGGAGGACAGCGCCGGCTCCTTCATCGAGTTCGTGCAGCGCCAGATCCACACGCAGGACCTGCCCCTGTCCATGATCGCCGCCGTGGACGAGATCTCCCTGTTCCTGGACGCCGAGGTGCTGGGCGGCGGCGGCGACGACCGCAAGGAGAACGCCCTGCAGACCGTGGGCAACGGCGAGCCCTGGTGCGACGTGGTGCTGGCCATCCTGGCCGACGGCACCGTCCTGCCCGCCCTGGTGCTCTACCGGGGCCACGTGCGGGCGCCCGCCAACGTGCCCGAGTCCATCCTGCTGGAGGCCCGGGAGGGCGGCTACAGCGACGACGAGGTCATGGAGCTGTGGGCGTCGCGCGTGTGGCACGAGCACGTGGCCTGCCAGAGCGGCAAGGGCATGCTGGTGCTGGACTGCCACCGGACCCACCTGAGCGAGGAGGTGCTGGCCGTGCTCAGCTCCTCCAGCACCCTGCCCGCCGTGGTGCCCGCCGGCTGCAGCTCCAAAATCCAGCCCCTGGACGTTTGCGTCAAGAGGACCGTGAAAAACTTCTTGCACAAAAAGTGGAAGGAGCAGGCCAAGGAGATGGCGGAGGACTCCACGTGCGACTCGGACATCCTCCTGCAGCTGGTCTTGTGCTGGCTGGCCGAGGCGCTGGAGGTCATCGGGGACTCGCCGGAGCTGGTGCAGCAATCCTTCCTGGTGGCCAGCGTCCTGCCCGGCCCCGACGGCACGGCCAACTCGCCGGCGCGCAACGGGGACATGCAGGAGGAGCTCATCGCCTCGCTGGAGGAGCAGCTCAAGCTGGGCCGGGGGGAGGAGGAACCCCCCGAGCCCCAGGAGGGGGAGACCCATCCCGAGGAGGCGGCGGATCCCGAAATCCTCCACCGGCTCTTCGAGGGAGAGAGCGAGACCGAGTCGTTCTACGGCTTCGAGGACGCCGAGCTGGAGCTGATGGAGGAGGAGGCCTGAGCCAGGAGGCACAAAAAGAACAAAGAGAAGGGGGTTATTTTTTTTTTGAGAATAAACGTTGGATTGAGACCATGACACTTCCCTGTGGATTTGTGGGGTTTTAGGAATTTTCCGTAGAGATTAAAACAAAACAAAACAAACAAACAAACAAACAAAACAAACAAACAAAC